GACTACCCTGTCGCGTAATTTGTATTTTGTGACCTCAGTCTGGGGTCCATACCATTTGTTCCCCTTCTTGTCTTGTATCAACTCTGAATCACGTTTCTCAAAGTGCTTCGTGTGAGTTTGAAACGTCCTTGAACACTCTCGGATTGAAAAAAGCTAGTCTCGGGCCTCTTCTCATCTGGTTTGTACGAGTTCCAAACAAGTGTCGAGATTGTCGACAATAGGCAGAAGGTAAGGGTAGCTCAGAGACATTCGCCAGTCCTATGCATGTTTCATCCGGTTCATTGCTGGGCAGCGGCGGTTGGACTTTCTCAACTGGTCTGATGCTGGAGGGTGGTTTGAGGAGATCATTCTCTTTGAGAACGAGATCGCGGAATGATACCAGAAAGCATGATAGGAAATCGTCGTTCAAAAACGTCGATCATATTTCCCATCCACATAGAACACCCATTCGGAGTGGTGATTTCGCCAGCCCCTGGGTGGGCTGCGCCAGGGAAATAGCCGCTGTGCTCAAAGGCTGTGATTTTGTGTCCAGCGTTGTCCTGTATAACCCTGAACGGCTTGAACCCAGTGCCATTGAAGAGGCGGAGCATTCATCTGACTGGAGTATGGCCCGTTTTCTCGCACTTATTGCAATGGAGCTTGATCAGGTCAATCTGCTTCTTCGGCTTCGGGCAGTTTCCCTTCGTGTGGCCGATTCTCCCGGCAGTTGAAACGCTGAGGCTGCTTTTTGGGCTTTGATGCCTGGTATTCTTTGACTGCGATCGTGACCATTTCCATTCGAAGCCCGACTCTGTCCCTGTTGGTCCTCATATTGGGCGCCTGTGTGCCAGCAGGTGGACCTCGTTGCTGGGGGGGGGGGGAAGGCGAATTCTCAACGAGTGCGTTGAGTTTGGAGCGATAAATGTGCTTTCGAGTTCCTTGACTCCATTTGTTGCTTGTCGCTAAGAAATATGATTGCATGGAGATGCTGGCAAAAGCCCGCGATGAAGCGTTTGATCTGCACTGGCTGGCTTTATGAACTAAACGTTAGGTCTGGACCTGAAAATAGACGAGAGGAACGCGTAACACTTACCCGGGTCTGCTCAAGGTCGGCCACGAGCGACTCGAGAGTAGGCGATGCGTCTCTATCGCAGAGACTGTCGATTATTTCATTCCTCGATGAAATTTGCACAGTGTCGGGGCAGCTTGCAGAGAGTCGGAGTAAGGTAGCGGCGAGGTAAGTGGATGGGAAGAGTAGTAGAAGGTTGGGTAGAGTCGAAGGAGGTTCAAGCTTGTGAGAGCTTGTGAATTTGTTGTGATACTAAGGAAAAGTAAAGCTAGAGGATTTGAGGGCGGGGGACGAGGGTTTAACTAGAAAAGAGGGCAGCGGCGTCTGCAGAGCAACTGGCAGAGTCGTCCGAAGGCAGAAGCCAGGCGCGCTGAAGACAAGTAAATCATACTTCCAGCAGCCAATGGCATTAGCTAGATGAGACTGCAATCACCAGGTATCGGACGAGCGCCCCTGGCTCATTGGCATAGACAACGGCGGGGGACGTATTCAAGGCGAGCGGACAATACTAATTCCACAGGAACCCAAGAGACAATTCTCGAAGACTCAGGATAAGCCAATGAAATGCAAAAATAGAACATCGGACGTTTTCATCTGAAGATTAGCCATCACATGGTTCGTGCGAGAAGCTGCTAGCCCAGCTCGAAGTAGGCGTGGGAGGATAACAGGTGAGGCCCGCAGTTTCTGATTCTATCAAGCAATGTAATCTAGTACGGCTCCTCTAGAGGAAACGGAGGTTCAAGAAGTGACGTTCTTTTGATAGCTTCTTGAACGGCATACGAGAGCCGCAAGAGGTGGCAGGTAAACTACAAGAGGTTATCCTATAGGAAGGTATCTAAAGGAGGTTGCCCATGGGAGACTACCCTAGGGCGCATAGGAGATTATTTCATGAGAGGCTATCCCACGAGAGGTTGTCCTATGAGAGGGTATCCCATGAGAGTTCATTCCACAGGAGTTTATCCTCTGATAAATGAGAATTAGCCCACAGGAAGTTGTCCTGCAGAAAGCTGTCCATAGGAGGATGTTCCACAAGAGACCATCCTGTGGAAAGTGAGAGGCGATCCCATAGAAGATTGCCCCATAGAAAATTGCCCAACAAGATGTTGTTCTACAAGAGATAGCTTTCATGGAAGGTCATCTTCCTGAAGTCTAGCATGAAACCGGGCAGCACTGATGCACAGAGTTGATGATATAATGCATGCAGTGAAGAATGCTGATGTCGGTTGAGAGGAGCTCTCAAGGAACACCAGCAATTTATGGTCCTTGAGCAGCGTCTGCTCCGATTTCAGAACACTCGGTAAGTCCAATTAGAAAGATTCAGACTCACAAACATATTTAGAATAATTCAATGTGGTCTAATGTGAGGTTATCTGTCAACCGCTACCCTTCGGTAATGCGAGCTTACCTCGTATCCAAAGGATTTTCCACACACCTGCACGAGTCTTCCGGGCCCCTGTGGTCACCCATGTGGTCGGGAATACCATGCGTGTGGCGCATGACGCATGTAATTTACGGGCTTCCTATGGCGACATCGGCCCCGGACATGCACAGCTTGATGCCGAAAAGCCACAGAGTGCACATTGGATAATTACTGGGCGTGCCGTAATCCGTGCAAATGTCACGCACAACGCAGTCAGGAAGACTTGATTAGTTGCTGAAATCTCGGTTCCAAGCCCCTATCACTCCAGGCTCGTGCTGTCAGCACCGGTGCTTCCGATCAGTCGTGTTGCCTGAGTGGCCCATCCGTTCGAACAGAAGCACCATGTCGAGCCACATAAGCACAGGACACATGTGCACGGGAGGATAGTTTGATGTCGGGTCGAGATCACGAAAATAAAGCAGGTCTCCAGACCAGACCGCCTTGGAACATTGACTTGCACAACTGTCCGTCCCATGTCACATTACCCCAGGATCACGGTACGTGATGTTGAAGAAAAAGCTTGAATTGGGGGTTTGGTCATCACTGGCAGCGAAAAAGGGTTGCCGTCGCTCACCTCGCTACCAGGTCATCCTCGTATTCGACGTAGCGTCAGGGGGGCAGGCCTGCATAGCCGCCATCCTTGGCAGCGGCAATGTCCTGATGTGTGACGTCGAGAGTCCCCCGGCGGAGCGCATTGCATGCAGAAATACGAAAAAGCCGCCCTCGGGGGGGTGGCCATTGGATGGGGGAAATGTCCACTCACCTGTTCTGGAAGCCATATTCTTAGAATCGGCGTGGCCTAGTCAACAAAGTGGATGACGCCTGGCTCCGTCTTTCCGAGTATGTATTTTGCCTTACACAGTAGGCTTAAGTATCCACCTGCACTGCATAGATCGAACTCTGATCAACATCCGATCTTTGGAAGCTCGTCCAGGTTCGCCATATAACAAGGACAACCATCCCCTCGATGGACAGCTTCGTTGTTCTCCCAGTCTGAGTAGGGGTCTTCGCTTTCTCTGTCTCTCTCTGTCTCTCTCTCTCTCTCTCTCTCTCCTCCCCCCCCCTACACCGGTCACTCTGCATACCCCGGGAACAAATCGCAACAATGAAGCTCTCAACAGTACTCTCCGGCCTCTCTGTCGTTGCCGGCACGGCCAACGCAGCCCTGCAGGGGTTCAACTACGGGGCGTTCTTCAACAACCAGGCCGCCAAGCAGCAGGTTGATTTCGCGTACGAATTCAACCGGGCCAAGAACCTGCCCAACCAGTCCGGGTGGAACGCGGCACGGCTGTACACGATGGTGCAGTGGGGGACGGCAAGCGATGTCGTGTCGGCGATCCCGGCGGCCATCAACACTCAGACGAAGCTCCTGCTGGGCCTGTGGACGTCGGGCGGCAGCTTCCAGAACGAGATCAAGGCCCTGCAGACGGCCATCAACCAGTACGGCACCGCCTTCACGGATCTCGTGGTCGGCATATCGGTGGGCAGCGAGGACCTGTACAGGCAGCAAAATGGTGAGGTCGGCATCGGTGCGGACGAGCTGGTGGGCTACATCAACCAGGTCCGCAGCACCATCGCCGGCACCCCGCTGCAGGGAAAGCCCATCGGGCATGTAGACACGTGGAACATGTGGCTCGACGGTGGCAACAGCAAGGTGATCGCGGCACTCGACTGGGTGGGCATGGACGCATACCCCTACTTCCAAGCTGCGTTCGACAACCGGATTGAGAATGCCGCCAACCTCTTCTGGAGTGCGTACGACCAGACCAAGGCGGCGTCGCAGGGCAAGGAGGTTTGGGTGACGGAGACGGGTTGGCCCGTCAGCGGCGAAACCGTCAATGGCGCTGTTCCCAATGCCCAGAACGCGCAAACCTTCTGGAAGCAAGTCGCATGCGGGCTCCTCTCGAGAAACGTGAACACGTTCTGGTACGATTTGCAGGAAAGCCAGTGGGGCCAGGCCAACCCTGACTTTGGTATCTATGGGGCTGGGGACCTTGGCGCCCTCTCACCGCAGTTCGACCTGTCTTGCTGATGAGGCTCTGCCAGTGGGGAAGAGATGATATTTGCATGGCATGGTGGCATGGCAATACTTGAACATAATGGATAATACCTACTAGATACATATTTGACCACAGCCCGTCTGAGACTAGAGGTCTATTGTATAAATCTAATGCTTGTCATCTAGTTTGGAAGACTCATTGTTGGGGGGGGGGGTGACGTGCATGGTGTCCACATGAGAGCTGTCTTTGCCTTGCGTGAACGTGCTGAACCTGGAGATGTCAACAGCCTCAAGTTATTTGCCAGCAGCCAGCAGCCAGCAGCCAACAGCCATGCACATGCCTGTCTTCATGCCTGTCCATGTAATTGACCACAAGGGGAGGACACAAGATGATGGCTGGTTGTTGGTGCAGTGTTGTACCGAAAGTGAACACTCCCTGGCCCCAAAAGTGGGCTCGCCCCCACAGGGCCAGCACACCGAGTCGAGAACAGTCCCACACAATAATATAAACACCACAAAACTAATGCCCCCAAGCCCGTTTAGCTCATCGGTAGAGCGCATCACTAGTAGCCCCAAGCAAGGCGATGATGAGGTGACTGGTTCGATTCCAGTAATGGGCAACAGCATACAGGAGTGAGGGTCATGAGGTCCTGATCCCTTTTTGTGTCGATGGAGCATACATACTGGGGCGCTGGATGAGGTCGAGCTCTGTAGTCCAGCACACATACACAGGAAGACAAAGTCTGGTGGGTGATAATTTTGCTTCTGGCCTAGCCCATCAGTGTAGGTGTGGGAGCTGTGTAGGCTCGTAAGAACTGCCGGATTGATCGATGGAGTGTTGATCTTGTTGGTGTTCCGGCTCCGACTGCAGTTGTGGCCGGTCTGGCAGTCTGGCGGGAGGGCCCAGTGTTTCCCTGATCTGCACACGGAAGAGTGAGTGGATTCCTAATCGGGATTTGGCGACCGGCTTGTGGAAGAAACGAATTGATTGATTATTTGATTGATGGGTTGTCTGGTCAGGGGCAGACAAACGGGGCAGATGCGGAAATGCGAAAAATAGCTCCCTTGTCCCCCACCAATGACGGAGCAAGTAATGGAGGCGACGCGTAAGGAAAGGACGGGCCAACTGGAACGGCCGGAGAAAGGCATGAGGAAGGCTCGGGAAGTCTGCTGCTGCTGCTGCTGACAACAGATTAGGCGAGTGCTGCGAGTGGCTGCTTGTTGCTGCACTCCCCGTCGACGACCATCAACTGACTGACTGCACGAACCCCCTCCGTCTGGCACCCGCTCCGACAGCACAGACTCGTCAACGACAACGACATTGACATCGACATCGACATCGACATCGGACGGCCTGTCCACTCAACCGACAGGACAGCCGCTGCTTCTGCCAGACTGCGCGCTTGTTCGAGTCGCCCCCACCCCGCCAGCCCGTCCAAACCCTCGCCCAGATCCAGCAATCCCGGTCTCCTCCTCCCATCCCATCTCCATCCCAACCCAGATTTCCCATAGGAAATCTGGCCATTCTGACGCGGCCCTGCGCTTGAGCCCTCCACTCAGCCGAAACACCACCACCCTGCCCCCATTGCGAAACAAGCGCGCCCTCGCAATGCCTTTGGCTTGGACCTCGTCGCCATCGCCAATGGCACCACCTTCCTCCTCATCCTGCCTTTCGCCATCCTCCTCATCCGCCTCCGTCGCCCGCGCAGCCTCGAGATTATTGTCTGCACCGACAAGAACAACCGTCTACCTCGCCCTTGTCGCCCTCTGCCTCCCAATGGCCCTCACTCACGACCACGGCGTCGAGAACATCCCTGAAGGCGATGCTACCTCTCCAGACCCCATCGTGCGTCAAACCACCCCCCCGGCCTGCCGGTGCCCTCTGCGCGCCCGCACCCTGCTGATCTGACCCGCCTCGTCTCTACAGGACTCGACATTATGGGCTCATATATTCGTCAATATGCTGGCCTTTGGCGTGCTGTTCCCTCTCGGCATGGTGCTAGGCGTGAGTAGAACCCCTTTTCCAACGTGCGCATGTCACGGAACTACCGACTGACCGCGCGCCTCGCCTGGACAGATAAGCAAGAGCAGATGGCATGTCCCCATCCAGGCCCTTTCCTCCATCCTCGCCCTCCTCGGATACGCCCTCGGACACATGCACGGCGGCCGCGAGTTCCTCCCCTCCAATGTCCACGCACACTTCGGCGACTGGGTCTACTTCCAGATGTTCGCCCAGATCATTGTCGGCGTCTACCTCAAGCTGCACCTCGAGAAGGGAATCCATAAGCACATACGGCCCGTCATTCGCATCGTCCACAGCATAAATGGCAAGGCCTTCCCCGTCGTCGCCTGGGCGCAGATGCTGTTCGGCGGCATTACCGCACTGGGCTTCTGCCAGGGCGACCACCTGGGCCAGTGCCTGGCCCACTTCATCATGGGGAGCGCCTTCATCGCCTACGGTATCCTCCTGACCATCGCCATGCTGGTTGGTCAGCTGTGGATCAAGCGCACCGGTCGTTCCCAGGAATTCTTCGACAGCGTCGTCATCGCCGCCTGGGGCTGCGTCAACACCTTCACCGAGCACAGGTGGGGCACCGCCTGGGTCAAGAACGACTGGCAGCACACAACCATGGGCATCGTCTGGTGGTGTGCCGGTCTGGCCGGCATCTGGCTGAGCAAGGACAGGCTCGGCCGCCCCAAGAGGAACTTTATCCCGGGCTTCGTCATCCTCATCACCGGCTGGGCCATGTCCGCGCACCCCCAGGAACTCCAGATCTCCGCCATGACCCACAAGGCTTTTGGCTACACCCTCATGGCCGCCGGGCTCACCCGCATGATCGAGGTCTCCTGTGTGCTCCAGGACAAGGCTGGCATCTCGGACGACGGCTACGACGTGCATAGCTTCCAGTATATCCCAGTATTTGTGAGTTCATTCCCCATCTCACAACGTGCCTTTGCATAGCCTCGTGCTGACATGGGTCCTTTCAACCAGCTCCTCTACGCGTCCGGCTTCTTGTTCATGGGCGCCACCGAAGAGCAGATGCTCCTTGTCAACTCGTCCGGAATCGACCATGTCGCCTACGTCCTCATCCTCTACAGCCTCGCCTTCCTCGTCTTCCTCTTCGCCAACGTGCTTGTGCACATCTACGACCGCAGCGTCAACCTGAATGGGCACACGAAGGGAATCAACGGCCATGCGCACGGTTCCAACGGACACACTTTGGCTCCGGCCCAGGAGCGTAGGCTACGGGACGCTGAGGAGTTTGAGCTGGATGACATGATGAGCGACGAGGATGAGGAGGAGGCCCAGCGGCGCAAGCTTCTGAAGGAGGAGAAGGATGACGTGGACCACGACGGGGAGGGTCTGTCGAGTCCCAGCACGGTTGGCAGGAACAATGATCGGGTTGCTTAGCGGGCAAGCCATCACAGGACACCGCCTCAAGGATGCTGCAGGTGTGCCAGCAAGGAAACACTCTCCAGGGACGCACCGAGCGAGTGGAGTGTTTTCTTTGGTGGTGGTGGTGGTGCGGAGGTGGTGCGGAGGTGTGCGAGGGCACACATATCTTACTAAACAGCATGGAGGGCGTTACGGGAGCAAATAGCATGGCCGTCTTGTATCTATTTCCGGTACTTGTTTCTTTACACGGTTGGGCAAAGAGACGTCAGGGTTGTGCAATGAATAGAGATATGAAAATCGTGTATAAGGAAAATGCCGAACAGCTCTTGGTAGTTGATCTGAGCATCCAGCATGGCGCATTGAGAAATGGCCATCCCTGGACCAAGCGAGGTACCTGCTGCATTAAGGGGGGGGGGGTTCTATTTTGAGGACGGACCAAGATAAGCCGCTTATCGCTGAGGACCCACCAAAAAGATCCACGACTTCATGGCAACGCTCTCGAATACCACCGAGTTCACAACCTCTCCGTGTGTGCACCCTATCAAGCCCGAATCGCAACCCCTCTCCGCAATTCAGTCGATTCAGTCAAACCAAGTCACCCCAAGTACAGTCGATCAAGATGCCGTCCGCATCCGTCAAGAACCCAAACTGCATCTCGCACAACCGACAGCGAGCCCTCCGCGCCAAAGCCCGCAAGCAGACCCTCCAGGCCGCTGCCTCAGCCCGCCTGCCCGACCGCGTCGCAAAGGCTGATACGAAGCGCGGTGCGCGCACCGGCCTCCTCCCCACCAGCGGGCCCAACAGGCCCTTGAGCCGGAAGAAGGCCCGCAAGCTGGAGAAGCAGATGGCACACGCCATCAGGAGGAAGCGCGAGGAGGAAGAGAGGCAGTCCCAGGTCGAGATGAAGGGTCAGTAGTCCCTGAGTGTTGTGGTGCAAACAACACCGAGTGTGAAATACGGCATGCGCTAACGGGCTGTGCTGTGACAGATGCCGAGGACAAGAGCTCCAAGAAGCAGCTCAAGACGGAGAGGAACGCGGCCGTGGATGCACTGGAGAAGATGGAGATCTCGTGAGCGAGTAACTGTTCGGAAGGCATCATGAACCAAGAAATCGCCCGGTCACGCACGGGGAGTAGAGTGCGCGGGAATACAAGGACCACGCAACATGGGCTCATCCGCCCGAACAACGGCAGCACTTCGCTTTGGCAGCACAGAGGTTCGTCGACACCAGAACAGTAGCGCGAGGTACGCGAAGCTCGAAAATACGTCTAGACACCACAAACTTTGTGCATGTCGCTGGGCATACGGTGGAACAGATGAATGGGACTACTCGACCTGCCCAACACTCGATATGACGAGTCGGCACAGGGCCGGGCTGGCTGCGAGGTTGCGCGGAAGCAAACCGAGGGCCTGATCCAAGAGAGGACCGATGATTCTTTCAGCTTATAACTCAAAGCTACTTCCTGCCTTCATAAATAGCGCAATGACAAAAAAAAAAAAAAAAAGAAGACCACGACCCGTCTGTACAGTCCGGAATTCCTTCTTCCTGCTTGCCCTACACGAGGCCATACTATTCGAGATCGGTACAGAATAGAGGTCTCGATGAGTCTGCATGACAGCTGTGGGACAAGTCCTGACACCAGACACGGTTCCCCCGCTAGTCTAGCGCCCCCTCAGCTCATCGAGAGGACTCAAAATGGTGGAGGGGCGGGTCATGTGTCAGATATCAAAGGAGCTCTTGCCTGACCGACGAGGCATTTCCAATCAGCCTCGCATCAATCTGCAGCAGCATCTCATAGCCAAAAAGGCCAGTGATACCAGCCGCATAAGCCCCACGCCCAACAACCATGGCCGACAACACCCTCCTCCGCTCCACCGCGAGCCTCGTGGGCATCACTTCAACCCTCATGGTCTCAGGCTTCAACATCAGCACCTCGCACCTGTTCGTGCCGCACATGTACAAGCTCGAGAAACAGGCATCGGCTCGCATTTTCGATCATCTGTACCACGACGGCCTCAAGGTAGTCGTTCCCCTGGCGGCGGCGGGAATCACGTCCTTCAGCTACCTGGCCTACACCTCGCCTCCCCCGCCCTCCCCCGGCGTCCTCGGGTCGAGCCTCGGCAGGCGTCCCGTCTTCGCCCTCGCCGCCGGCCTGGTGGTGGCCACACTGGCCTGGACGCGCGTGGTGATAATGCCCGTCAACGAGAGGCTGATCAGCATCG